CAGTCCCGGCCCGGCCCCCTGCCCGGGGACGCGTGCTCAGCCCACGCCCTCTCTTGCAGTACATCCGCGTGTCCTACGACACCAAGCCGGACGCGCTGCTGCACCTGATGGTGAAGGACTGGCAGCTGGAACTCCCCAAGCTCCTCATCTCCGTGCACGGCGGCCTCCAGAGCTTCCCGATGCAGCCCAAGCTGAAGCAGGTGTTCGGCAAGGGCCTGGTCAAGGCCGCCGTGACCACGGGCGCCTGGATCTTCACGGGGGGCGTCAGCACGGGTGAGCGCCCGGCCTCGCCCGGCTGCAGACACGCAGGCCCCCGAGAGCTTTCCCAGAAGGAAAAGCCATGGGTGTGGCACCCCGAGGTCGCTTTTGGGTTTTTATTTTTAAAAATATATTTTTAAGAAAGAAAAAAACATATTTTTATTGCCCGAGCCGATTTGGCTCAGTGGATAGAGTGTCGGACGGTGGGCAGAAGGGTCCCGGGTTCGATTCCGGCCCAGGTTGCGGGCTCCTCCCTGGCCCGGGCCCTGGTCGGGGCGTATGCAGTAGGCAACCCATTGATGTGTGTCTCTCACATCGATGTTTCTCTCTGTCTTTCCCTCTCTCTTCCGCTCTCCCTAAAAATCAATGGGAAAATGTCTTTGGGTGAAGATTAAAAAGAAATATATATATATTATTGATTGCAGAAGAGGAGGGAGAGAGAGAGACATCAAAGATGAGAGAGGATCACTGATGGGCTGCCTCCTGCACGCCCCCTACTGGGGATCGAACCCACAACCCGGGGATGTGCCCTGACCGGCGATGGAACCGTGACCTCCTGGTTCACAGGTCAAGGCTCAACCACTGAGCCAGGCTGCCAGAGCCGGGGTACCTTCTTTCAATGGCAAAAATCACCAAGTCTCCACCCGTTCCCCAGGGGACGGAGGGGCCCGGAGAAGGGGTGCCCCCCGCAACTCCCCCACCCCCCACCCATCCACAGGGGGCCTCACCCACGGGCCTCCCGGCTGCTCGCAGGGGTCATCAGCCACGTCGGGGACGCCCTGAAGGATCACTCCTCCAAGTCCCGGGGCCGGGTCTGCGCCAATTAAAAAGAAATATATATATATTATTGATTGCAGAAGAGGAGGGAGAGAGAGAGACATCAAAGATGAGAGAGGATCACTGATGGGCTGCCTCCTGCACGCCCCCTACTGGGGATCGAACCCACAACCCGGGCATGTGCCCTGACCGGCGATGGAACCGTGACCTCCTGGTTCACAGGTCAAGGCTCAACCACTGAGCCAGGCTGCCGGAGCCGGGGTACCTTCTTTCAATGGCAAGATCGCCATGTCTCCACCCGTTCTCCAGGGGACGGAGGGGCCCGGAGAAGGGGTTCCCCCGCAATCCCCCACCCCCCACCCATCCATAGGGGGCCTCACTCATGGGCCTCCTGGCTGCTCGCAGGGGTTATCAGCCACGTCGGGGACGCCCTGAAGGACCACTCCTCCAAGTCCCGGGGCCGGGTCTGCGCCATCGGCATCGCCCCCTGGGGCCTCGTGGAGAACAAGGAAGACCTGATCGGGAAGGACGTGAGTGCCTCCTCCCCCGACTGGGCCATTGGTCGCTCGTCACCATTGTCACTTTTGGACTCCGGCAATTTAAAGAAAACCCAAGTTTGTCCTCTGAGGTCGTGGCGGGTCCCCCTGCAGTTGTACGAAATGAGGAAGACGGGCTCCCATCGACCCCTCTTCCCTCTCGGCCACCGTAACCAACGTCTTGCCAAACCGTGACGGGACATCACCACCAGGACCTTCTTAATTTACTTGGTTATTTGTTTCTTATTTAATTTATTATTATTATTATTATTATTATTATTTATTAAGGACTTTGCAGCTCACAAATGTGAGACAGTCTGCTGAGGTCACAGGAAATTGAAGGCAGAGCCAGGAACTGGAACCCTTCACATAACTAAGAGAAGGGAACTAAAAACACATCTGTCATGTTAATAGATTTAAATGG